TTTTATTTGGGAGAATCAGAGTAAAGGGGGCTGAATGCATTTGCACACCACATTTTTCAGATTTTTGAATGTTTTTCTTTTTTTAACTCTGGATTGTTTTCCTTCCTGTTTATACTTATGCATGTCTTTGTGTTGGTCTTTCACAAAAAACTCCAATAAAACATATTGATGTTTGCAGCTGCAAGCTGATAAAAAAAACTGAAAAGAATGCTTTTGCAAGATATGTTTTTTGCATCTTGGGCATTGACTCTCCAGTAATAAACTTTAATCGTCTGAACCAGTGGGTCGACTCTTGCAACTGGAAGGTTGCATGTTAAATTCCTTGTGTCTCCTGCCTCTGTGCTCCTGCTCTTAACCTCAAGTTTCCTACTGAACTCTGTGTGAATGCGGCTGCGGCGTAAAGCGCTTTAAGTGGTAGTTTGACCAGAAAAGTGCTGAATAAACTCAGTCCTTTTAACATTTGTGGTCTTCCAGACAAGCAGCAAAACAAGTTTGTTTTAAGTGTGCAGCTGGCGACGCTTTCCAAATATAAGTCCAATTATGTTTTAAATGGCTAAATCTGGCTTTCTGCTACTTAACTCTGATCGTAATGGTTTAATTCTTTTCTTCTGATTCCATAATGCTATAACACTCCATTTACAGTAATTTTACTGCACATAAATCTGGTAATTGCCCCTTTTAGAAGTGGATGGACTCTACTGAAAAAGACATTTAAATAAGGTCTAAGTATAACACACATGAACATGTAGTGTAAATGTGGAGACAGTTGGTGTTAAGAGCTACTTTATGTTGAGACAATCAAAGATTAGCAGTAATAACATTAGATCTGATGATGTAGAGATATTTCAATCTGAACTAGGGATGCAATTAATAATTATTTTAGTTGATGATTGATTTATTGATTATTTTATTAATTGCCACGTTCCGCATTTTTCATTTAAGCCTTTTTTTATACAATGTTAGAAATGCATTAAAAGACACAATTTAATTCCTTTTTCATAAGAATAAGAAAATAAAAATTTTATAACCTTTTGGGTAGAACATATTAACATATTTTCTTTTTAACTTAAATGCAAAATGTATATATTTTTGCACAGTTTTGGCTCAATTACTGCTCTGCTTTTTTCCTGTATACTCCAGTTAATAATTAGCGATTACTAAATCGGCTGACGATGAATCTGATTAGTCGTTTCAGCCCTGGTCTGAGCGATGGTGATTTTAGCGATCGGTCATCTCAGAAGCGTGGGAGCTTCTCAGCTCTCCTCCCTCCATCCTGGCTCTGAGCGGCTCTGTTTGCTGAACAGGATTTGGAAAACATGACGACTAGTGGCAGCCGGGCAGGCACGTACGCCTTGAGTTCCTGAAAGCGGGTGGAGATCTGCGGTACCCTCAGGAAAGCCAAACGGTGAAAGAAGAATTGGGAAACGGTGAAGTAATGGAGCGCGACACAGAGGAGGATGTGTTAAAGAATAAGAAATGTGCTGAACACTCTAATTAGGCTGTCTCTCCATAAAATATGCAAATTCATGTAAAATTTCTTCCATTTTACAGTAAAATCTGCTTGGTTCTTTATTCACATTTGGCCTGAACCTGCTGCTACTTTAGTCTTTCCCAGGAACAAACCCTCTGGGGAGGAAGTCGCGTTTCCAGCTGCAGCAACGCCTTTGAATTCAAAGATCTGAACTGGTAAAATACCTGAACATAGAAGCTCCGTTCCTTTACTGGGAGGTGAGAGGAGCAAATAAAATGAAGTCAAAGTGGTGACGGATTACCAGGATGTTAAAACACTCAGCTGTAGCGACACACACTCGCTTACAGCTGCTGTTTTCTGTGTGAAACAATAGGTCACCAGAGCTCATGTTGTCCAAACAGAACTGAGTGGTGGGAGACACACGGCTGTGTGGGATAAAGTTGCATATCAACACACAATTATGATCCCCAGAGGTGTTCTCCCAACTCCTTACACTCCTGATTCATTGCTTTACTTTGTTTTTACATGTAGCACTGATAACATGGGTGTTAAGAAAGCAAAGGATCATTTATACGTTATGGAAATAAATCATTCAGGCAGGATTTGAACTAGACGTGTTTAATCAGAAAATGTCTTGAGAGGATGAGTTATATCAAGTGTTTGTTTCTAAAAGCTTAAAATGAGAGCGAATCCGCTGCATATCCCCGCAGTATGAGGATGTTTCACACCAAAAGACAAAATGAGACATAAATACCAAAACCCAGATTTGCTATGACCTGATGCTAACAGAGACGATCTGAAATAAACCAAACTTCATCTTTAGATTTGATTCCATGCTCACGAAATGAATAATTGTTCAATAAGCAATCCAAATCCTTCCTGCTAAAACCAGATTCAGTTCATCATAAAAGCCAATTGGTGAAATGTTATTTAGATAAAGAAGCCAAATTGTATGAATTTAGCCTCATCTTTGCAAATATCTGCCTATCAAGCTGTTTAGTTGAGTTTTAATATCTTCTTTTGTCTAAATTAGTGTTGGAAGGTTGACAAGAGAACTTTATTCTTCGTAGGGAAGTCTAAAGGAATAAGTTTTTTATTTTATAATATACTTCATATATAATGGTGTTGAAACTGTAATTGATGGTTGGGTATCTGATATCATTTTGATCCAAAAAAAGTTGGATGTGAAATGATCAAAAAGTGAAACGAGCAGCTCTGGCTGATGTCTGTCTCTTATTTTAGCAGCCTGAATTATCTGATCCTTTTTACATCTTTTAAACTTCCTCTTTTTTTTATTTTTGAACCTCTTACCGGTACTGAAAATGGCTGGGGATTGAATCAGAAGGTTTTACCCTGAATTTGTGTCGTTTTTAAGACCTTTTGTCTGCTGTACAGCTTTGATTTCAGCCTGAAAGAGACAACAGTGAATGAGCATCAGGAGAGAGAGACTCCAGCAGCCTCCTTCCTTCCCTCCCAGGCGAGCCACTCGCCTCTTTGAGAGGCTGTGAAGACAAATTACAGGCTGGTTCAGTTAATTAAAGAGCACAAATGGAGCAGGCAGTGTTAGCTAATGTTATTAGGCTCAGGAAGCTGCTGTTTGTGTCAGGTTTGTTGTCCTGATGCCGGACGATGCGTTCAGGGACATGGACCAACTCAGGCTGGGGAAGACCAACCGAACACTTGGGCTGAGATCAAATGTAGTTCTGCATATTTGGGTGAAACTTGAATAAGATGCTCTGTGTGTGTGTGTGTGTGTGTGTGTGTGTGTGTGTGTGTGTGTGTGTGTGTGTGTGTGTGTGTGTGGAGATTTTAATGGGCCTCAAGATGGCTGCAGTGAGGAGTTTCTAGGAGGGTTAAAGCAGTGATGGAGCTGGACTGGAGTCCCAACCCAGCATCCGTCAGACTCACCTTCCCTTTTCTCGCTCTCCTGTTTTTCCCTCTGCTCTAATTAATACGTTCTGTCCTCCCTCAAGCCTTCTCATCTCTTTCTCAATCCAAGTCTGCGCTGTAGCCTCCTGAGGGAGACGTCTTCTGCACTGCCTAACACAACAACAACACCTGCTGTGCTACTGTGTGTCCTGTCCTCAGCCTGGCTCCTTCCTCCTCCAACTTATTTCAGTTTGCACTTTGCACTGCTGACTGCATCTCAACAATGGATGTCGGTAACTTGGCCAGTCTTATGCGGAAAACTCAAGCCACTATTTTAGAAAACGGCTTCCTGGGCAAACGCCTCGATGAGCTGAGACATGTGAGTGCTGCGCTTTGACTTTGCACTTCTGATGCTAAATTTGTCTGGTGATACTTTTTTAAACAAGTGAAACCGGGGTGGGTCTTTTTTTTTTTTTTTTTTTTTGCCTTTGGTTTGGGGGGACAACACTTCTGGCGCCACATCTGGGCTCGGCTCGATCTCACTTTTTTAGAAGTGAGAAGTTCACTTACAAGCCTTTCACCAACAAAAACAGAGTGTTTGTTTCATTCACATCCACACAGTTGTAGTTTGCCAACTGTGGCGTTTATGCATTTGGTGTAGATTTGTTGTTATGGTCGGAATATTGAACCATTTGCTTCTTCCCAGCACAAACGCTGACATTTTTCTGCTCACTTTTAAAGTTTTAAACGTGCTGCTGTGAAATATATCTCACCTCTACCTGCCCGTACCACTCAGACTCTAGTATCATTTAGATATGTCTGATAGTAATTTAAATCCTGATTTTGTGTTTTACTTACTTTTGTTGCTGTTTTACCATTGTGGATGTAACTGTGAAGCACTTTGACCGTCTGATGCGGGTTTTTTAAATGCACTAAATAATTAAATTTGACATTAGCTTCTCGATATGCTGCATTCAGTGCCTGGATTTTTTGTTTCTGTGTTTCCGTCACATATCAGGTCAGTTCAGGTCAAAGTGATTCTATCCTTCTCACAATCTGATTTAATTTTTTTTTTTTTCAGTGCGTCTATTTTTTACTACAATTACTCCATGACTGTTCAGCTTTATGAGTACAGCAATAATTAATATGTGTTTAACTATGAATAACAAGGGTCAAAGCTTCCAGGTTTTGTTTTTATAATTTTGTAGATGTTACTAAGTAAGGCTTATAATTTCCTACATCTTTGAATCAAACCTAGGTGTGTTTTTTTTTTTGTTTGTTTTACATGAAGAGATTGAGTCGTTAAGCATTGCTTTATCTGAGAATGAACAGCTGCTGTGAATTTTTTAGCACACTATAATTTAGCTTAAAATCTTTAAGTTGTGTTCCTTACGAACAATAAATGATGCAGTTTTACTGAACCTGACATGACCGACTGTAGAACTACTTCCATCTGCTGCTGTCCTGGTCCTACAGTCGACTTTTTCTTCTTCTGCTGGTTGACTTTCAATCAGGCCTTCTTATTTGCTCATTACCGTCACAAAAACTCTTGGAAATTGAAGACTCTAATTTATCTCCGCTGGTTTTTGTGTTGCACATTGAAGAATAACGCTGGTTGTATTATTTTTTTAAGTTACACTAACAAACTCTCTTGTTGCAGGTGGTGGCGAGTGACGGGGTCCGGGCTATGATGGAGTCGGCCCTGACAGCCAGAGACCGGGTGGGAGTGCAGGATTTCGTCCTGCTGGAGAACTTCACCAGCGAGGCGGCCTTCATAGAGAACCTGCGGAAACGCTTCAAGGAGAACCTGATCTATGTGAGTCAATGACGAGGGCTAGCGGCACACATTAGGCAAAACTTTCCTGATTTTTATGGGATTATTTAAGTTTAGTGCCATGTTTTCTCTAATGAGACACATATTTTTTTTTTCTTTTCCTGGAGGTGGAATGAGCCTTCGCAGGGATACTGAGACAACACGATTATTTTTCAACGTTTCTCGTGAAGCAGCTTTCTGTTAGCGTCACAATTTTCAGATGAAAAAAGACTAAAAAAAAGAAAAAAAAAAGACTAAACTCTCACTGTGAAAGTGAGAGTTAGTTTTAAAGTAAAAGATTTCATGTTTGAGTTGTATTGTGAAAGTCGGTCTACATCATTTCGTTGTACAACAGAACCATCCACCAGTTCTTAAGCTGCTTTGGGACATTTAAATGAATCTGAAATTCAAAAATATTTGGTTTTAATTGTAAATTTAATTGTAAGATATAATTAAACTATAAATTAATTGTAAATTGCAAAAAGTTTTGTATGGCTCTGTATTGAAAAAAAATTTTTTTTAAGCAATTTAAGATTTCTGAAACTTATTAGAATCTTGAAAACATTATTGTAATGAATCATTTATTTTTGTGGCTCGGGCGTTTGGACCTCTTGAGATTAAATTTTATAATTTAAACCCTTGTCAAATGTGTTTAAGCCCTTTTATTTATTTATTTTTAAAAGAGGGATTCTGAGTTTTCTTAATTTTGTTAAAATTCAATACAGTTTACAGTCTTTCTTGAGCTAAATTAATTTCTAGAGCCATACTTTACACATGTAAGAAATTTGCTGACAATTTTCAAACATGTTCTTCTTATAAAACCGTTTTTATTTTATTGCAATGTGACCGGTTCGTTCTCTTTTCCTCAGACTTACATCGGTTCTGTGCTGGTGTCGGTGAACCCGTATAAAGACCTGGAGATCTACACCAAGAACCACATGGAGCGATACCGCGGCGTCAACTTCTACGAGGTTTCTCCACACATGTAAGTGCACAGATCTCTCTGTACGCAGCCATCGCTCCGTTAAAGGACAAATCGTCTCATAAGGCTGAAACAACTGATCGAGATTAAATCGATTATTGATAATTGATTTAGTAATTCAGTAATCATTAACTGGAGCATACAGACTCAAAAAAGGCCATTTGCCGAAAGAACAACGTACTAAAGCATTAATTAAGTCACAACTAAACAAAAATATATTTAAGATAAATCCATATTTGTCTGTGAATATATTCTACTCTTAACCTGCTTCAAATTCTGTAAATAGAAAATCTGTAAATCACATTGTAATTATTTATCAATTATTTCAAAATAATACTCAGTATATCAGCCCTGCACTTTATTAATGTTTTCACATGTTAATGATTTATTTTCTTATTTGAAAAGGGAATTTGTATCTTTTCATGTATTTCTAACGTTTGAAAAAGGCTTAAGTGAAAAATCTGCAGAATGTGGGAATCTTTTTTTATCTAATTAGTTGTCAGAATAACTGATTATTAAAAGAAAATAACCTGCAGCAAAGAGCAGTCAGCAGGTTCCTCAGGATGTGAAGGAGGCTTACAGTGAGATAATAAGTCGAGACAGATGACATAACTGCTATATACTGTCTGAGTGGTAAAATGAAACGAAATATTTGCTTTGTCCGCTTTTCTCAGCTACGTCATCTTCAAGTCTGAGTGTCCTCTATTCATCATGGCTGCAGCCACAGCGTTTGAAACGCTGCCACAGGAGGGGTCAGGGAATTCCCTTTAAATCCTTCCAAAACAATACAGCACATTATAAAGAGTCAAGAGCAGCTGCACTGGAACATTTCACAAGCCTGTGCTTTCACGTTGTCTGCGCTCGAGCGTGTGGCTAAATGTTTTCTCTCCCTCTGTGTGGAAAGAGAGATGTGCTTCAGTGAAGAGGAGAGGTTAGAAGGGTGGAGGATGGGGGGGAGCTGGAAAGAAAAGTGAGCAAGTGTTGGTACCAGGCGAGAGGTTTCCTCCCTGCAGAGGGAATTCCTCTGACCCCAACTTGACCCCCGCTCAGACTCCGGTGTCAAACACGAACGGCACCGAGCGCGAGTGCAGCAACGTTCAAGCGGCTGCTTTTTATCTTTCACCGATTAGTCCGCTGTCAGAAATGTGTCAAAACATGCTGAAATAACAACACCAGGAAGATGGCGACCCGGAGCTGATGAGCGATGGTGTAGCTGGAACAAGCTGGGTTTCACTCGGGTCTTTATGATTCATGCTTATACTCCGACTGTGACGGGCTAGCATATGACACATTCCAGGCATGAATTTTCCAAAGTCAATATTTTCTTTAACACGTTGTCATCCAGTAATGGGATGCATTGCTCTTATTCTGGATTTTTTCTGTTTTTCCAAGTCTTTTAACAGCATTGTTT